ATAAGAATATAAGTGTATATATATAAGTATATATATAGGCCTATATAAGTATATATGTAAGTATGTGTATATATGTATATATATAAGTATGTATATATAAATATATATACGTATATATAAGTATGTATCAAATAAAACTCAGGAACAAGGTATATATTTGCCAAATTTAATACAGAAAATTCACAAACGTTTTCGGCCATAGGCCTTCATCAGGTGTGATCACACCTGTAAATGTATAAGATCACATATGTATATGTATAAGTATGTATATATATAATATATAAGTATGTATATATATTATATTGCATATATGTATGTATGTATATATATATATATATATAGGCCTATATAAGTATATACATACACACCTGATGAAGGCCTATGGCCGAAAACGTTTGTGAATTTTCTGTATTAAATTTGGCAAATATATACCTTGTTCCTGAGTTTTATTTGATATATATCTACACTTTGCCAAGCAGCTACTCCTGATTTTCCTGTTATATAAGTATGTATATGTATATGTATAAGTATGTATATATATAATATATAAGTATGTATATATATTATATTGCATATATGTATGTATGTATATATATATATATAGGCCTATATAAGTATATATGTAAGTATGTGTATATATGTATATATAAGTATGTATATATTTATATATATATATGTATATATATATGTGTATGTATATATATATAAGTATGTATATATATAAGTATGTATATGTGTGTTAGACACAAGGATTATGTAAAGTATTCTTGCATGAATCTGGTTCCATAAGTGATATTGTACCATCTTTTTCAGGAAAATACTTCTAAGCCATTGGTCCTGTGTGCAACAAATAGTACAGTATGTATAAGAGCAGAGGATTATCTACCAGTGTACTTCCAAAGGACTTTTTGTACAGACGTAGCCTAATTCATCACTAGGAGTTGGGTGCTGTTATGAGACAAGTGTGAGCACCAGATCCAAAATTCAATGGTTAAGACTAGCAAAAATTGATTTACTTGACTTTATTCTATACATATGTATGTCAAACTTCTTGGGTAAACCTTAATATTCATGACATAACTTACCTCTCCCCAGAAAAACCTTGTAGGCAGAAGAGTCTGATTGAGAAGTTGGACCTTATGTTGCGTTTGCACATTATCGTAAACCTCTGGCATATGTAGACTACTTGAGAGAAGGCAAGCCTGGGGCTTCTTGACGTCAGCACGTACACCGATGTAACTGTATATTTGGGTAGATCACATTATAAGCTTTCAGTTGGTCTTTGAATGGCTTCCCTACTATAAGTAAATCCAGAGATATGAGCATTTAAAGTTTAGGTGTATAAGAACCACGTTTTGAGAAAATCGACCTCAAAGATAAACTAACCTGTACAAATAATATGACTAGACTTACAGAATATGTGTAGAAAATACTATTTTAGCAAGAAAATTCACTTACAAAGTATACAATCATAAAATATAAGTATCAAGTTATTCAAAAACATTAAAATCAAAATTTTGTAAAAATATTGACTATCATATGAATGAATTTGATAATACCCTTTATAACTTTTTTATTTAAGCACTGACATTTGATATACTGTAATTATGTGCAGTTTAAACTTGTTATTACAATAATTACACCCAGAATGCTGGGTCTGAACCCAAGAAATTTATCACAAAGTTAGAACAGAAAATAAAAAAGATATACCATGGCTTGCCATTGTCAATTGAACATTCAAAGACTGAGCTAAGGTATCTGCAGAAGGTAGGGTTGAAGGTGACTCTGATGAGGGTAGAACCCAAGGCTGGTAGCTCCCCACTTGAAGGCTTAAAGTCAAACTCTGAAATTCCCTGAAAAATATAAACATAATGTCATTAATCAGTGAATGTTATTTTAAGAATATCAAATAATATATTAATCGGTTTCTCATTTCTTCATGCCAGAATCATAACAATAAAAATAAACTCAGCAGTATTGTTTTTGCCAAGAGTTATTATCTAATAGACTTTTGTTTGTTTCATTTATTATTTGAATTTCATTCTGTATTCTGTTATTTTATATTATCTATTAATGTATCACTATCACAGATGAACTTTCATTTGTAGCATTAATAGTATATTTTTAACACACAGATATCAGGAAATATTTCAATAAACTGTACTGAAAAGTATTTCTCGTGATTTAAAAACTGTCTTAAGAATTTTGTCTCACAAAATGAAATGAATTCCATTTGGAAAATAAACCAATATACAGATATAACTTTTTTTCTAAACTTGCTACAAATATTTATTACTGACTTGCAGTTGTTTGTCCTGAAACTCCTTGCTTTCATATATACTCCATTTAGCTGGAATCTGTGACATGTTCCTGATTACAATTTCTTCTGTGACTTCATACCCATAACGAACCAGACCAAAATCAACAGATGGTGTATCTATAATCACCTCTGGACCCTAAAAAGAAATGCATCATAAATGGGCATGTTTCTACTGAATATCGAGAAAGAAACGGTTCTCTTATCATTGGTTGATTATCAGATTAGCAAAATAAGAAGTGCTTGCAACTGCATTTTGACTCCACATGAAACAGTTACCGGAATGATGCGCTACATTATAAGTGACGTAACAATTACTCAGAATGCAATTTAAAATTACCCTTATTATAAGGAGCAACAATAAAGAATGTACCAAAACTTCTTATGTAAAATAAAAATAACAATAGCAATATAAAAAAAAGAGAAAAAAAAAAAAAAAATAATAATAACAAGAATAATGATAACAATGAAATGAACAATAACAAAAACACTAATGAAAATAATAACTATAATGATAACAATAACAATAAGAGTTAAATAACAAAGTACTTTCATTTCTGACCTTTATACGTGCCCTCACTCTAAGCGTAAGAGGTTCATCCTGATAATCTAAACGGCACAGCAGAGTGTGGTCAATCAAACCAGGTTGTCCACCTGTAATGGTCAGCCTAAGATCTGCAACTTCTCCCGGTGGAATAATTCCTTGAGGAGTTTCAACTTCAATGATGTGACATTCACTCAACGATGACCAATTGAATGTGACAGGATATTGGCTAAAGTTGACCATCTGAAAAAAAAATGGCCAAAGTTTCAATAGACATTTCTGGCATGTAAACCAAACTTAACAAAAAGACCAATCAGAATTGGAGCAGGAATATTTGTAATAACAACAATAAGAATAATGATAACAATGAAATGAACAATAACAAAAACACTGAAGAAAATAATAACTATAATGATAACAATAACAATAAGAGTTAAATAACAAAGTACTTTCATTTCTGACCTTTATACGTGCCCTCACTCTAAGCGTAAGAGGTTCATCCTGATAATCTAAACGGCACAGCAGAGTGTGGTCAATCAAACCAGGTTGTCCACCTGTAATGGTCAGCCTAAGATCTGCAACTTCTCCCGGTGGAATAATTCCTTGAGGAGTTTCAACTTCAATGATGTGACATTCACTCAACGATGACCAACTGAATGTGACAGGATATTGGCTAAAGTTGACCATCTGAAAAAAAATGGCCAAAGTTTCAATAGACGTTTCTGGCATGTAAACCAAACTTAACAAAAAGACCAATCAGAATTGGAGCAGGAATATTTGTGCTTGTCCAATCAGCATGTGATATTCCACAAATGCATATATTTACATAAATTAATGCTGTTTTGTGGGACAGTAGCAAATATATCCAAGGGGTGAGGCTTAGTAGCAAGTTGCATTCTTCTTTCTTTTTTTTTTTGTATTTAGGCTCATGCACATGAGCATGTGCACCAAAGATTGTCAAAAGCGAATATATCACTGTCCTACTTGTAGGTAACAATTCAACCTTGCACAAGACAAATATACAAACATGATGATTTGCACAAAATAAATCTCAATATGAGGCAGAGACAAGCCAAACCAGTCACTCAAATCTATTTTATTGCACTAAATTAAACTTTATATATCTATACATCATGCTATCTTGATATTTTCTCCATTTTCAATATTAAAACAACAATTTGTCATGATTTAGTAATGGTTTCTGAAGGAGAAATGCCAGAAATTGTAAACTTTGAAGGCTGATTTCTCATAATGAAATGTCGGATTAAGTGATTTTGACCATTTTATAGCTCTCATTTTACTGTTCAACCCTGTATTAATAACTAAAAATTGATTTTTGCTAGGAGTGACTGGTTTAGCTTGTCTCTGCAACATATGAGTTTTAGGGAGTGGAGTTGTTTTGGTCATGGAAAAAAAAATCCTGCAACACCATGGGATTGGAAGGCAAGTATCTTAGCCACTAAACAATTAAACTCCACTCTTGTCTATTCTCAAAACAAATAGCACATTGTAAAAGGAAATTTAAACACTACGTACCTGAAATTGTTTTCTAATTGTTGTGGTTACCAGCATAGTACCAGGTACTATTATTGCATAAGGCTGGACTAACACATGATATTCTTCACACTCTCCCTTCAGCTCAACCTCTAGGCAAACCATGTCTTTAGTAGAGGGGTCTCTGGATGATGATGATGCTGCTGACGTACTTTTATTTCCTGTTTCATTTTGTTGATTGTGAACTAGTTTTGCTGATGTTGACTTGGTTGTGTCCGTAACTGGAATGTTTTTTAGAAGTAGATGTACTACATTATGGAAGTATCCAACCTGAAAATGAGAAAGAGAATTGTTGACTTCGAATGGTTATTGTGCCTACCTTCCAATCACAGATTCATGCTATGTGTTATCACAACAAAATTAACTTTTTTCTGAGCCTTGTAATTTCCTTTTTCTGAGCCTTTAATGAGTCTTAAATTTTATTAAATTATCAAAGAAGGCATTCAAAAAATGATTATATAAATTGATCCTGCATATACTTTGTGCAATGTATATATATAAACTATTGGTGAAATGCCTGGTAGAGATGACAAAAAATACTATTTTAAAAGTATCACTTGGGCAATACAGTTTACTTCATCTTGTACATACAGATTAATGTCAAAGTCAGATTCCAGGAATCATCATACAGTATGTTATTAATCAATAAGAAATACAACCATAATTGGGCATATAATAATTATAGGAATGAAATTACATTAAGCTTTTCAGACGGAAAAATTATGAATTGTAGAGTTGTAATATACTTACAGTTGTTGGGGAGAAGCCAACAATAAAATCTTTGGTTGAATTTGCTGAAAGAGTACCCTGATCTGGAGCAATGCAAAAGTTCCCTCCACCTTCCTGTACTCTGCTGATCATGTGGTCACTGGAAGATGATGTCATCATTGGATCTGGACACTCCAAGTGAGGTTTGAGGATCTCCCAGAAGAAAGGCAGGTCTACATTCCTAAATTCCAGATGAATATTAGCATAATTAAAATACGAAAAACAATTTTTTGAGAAACACACCCTCTACTTACCTAAAAAAATAATAAACACCCAAAAATAATACATGAAAATATTATGTATTATAATAAAACCACTTGGTGATCATTAAAAAATTATACTCATTCCTCCCTTTTTCTCTCCCTCATTAAGAAGGTGCAAAGAAAGAGATCATTGCTAAAAGACTTACGTTGTATTTTGAACTTGTAGTTTCTTTTCGGTGTAGGTCATGGGGTTCAGTGTGTCAAAGTTCACATGATGTTGAGCTGTGGTATCACAAATCTCACCTGGGACAGGGAAACTCTCTCCACCTGGTTTGACACTCACAAGCCTCACCCCAGGTGACTGGCCCTCACCTGTACATGAAATAATTATACATAAAGAAAGAGTTCCAAGACATTTCACATTATACATTCCAATGATATTTTAATTATGGAAAATGTATAGACATGATACTGACAATTATTCATGATCATGATTTTAATTCTGATGTTGATGAAAATGATGATTACAGCAAAATTGTCCACTGGCTAGTGTCACCCTCTTCTGTGGGCTATACTAAATAAATGAAAAGAAATAAATAAATGAATAATTTATAAATACAGTACTCACCTTTTAAAGTAAAATGTTTCACATGGCAATTGTCACAGACCATGGTGATATTCTGGGTAAATGTCTCAACTGAGGGCGGTGTAAATACAACCTACAATGGTTAAGACAATGGTGACGTTTTAGGTCTGTACTTGTACAGTGGAATACAATCTACTGTATTTGACAAAAATATAAAATGACTTACCTGCAGGAGAGTGGAATATCCTGCCGGCAATTCAAACATGGCAGGTTGGACGTCAAAAGGCTCAAGCTTCACCCTGTCAGCATTCAGTGACTGTAAATCAGATAATTTAAATATATGAATATTCATGACAAATTCAGAATTAATAATGAAAATCATACACATATTAAACTAAATGGGTAGAATGCTTTGATGTGTTTTTCATCATAATTTATCCTAGTTGTTTTTTTCAAAAAAACCTAATCATTTTTTTCAAAGTAAAACATCCACAAGTAAAGGAGATCTTGAAATTTTTAAATGAGAAGATAATTTCCTGTATACGTTCACAGTTTTAGACAGCAAAAGAGAAATTAGAAAGAAATTGTGGCATATTGCAATACAGACATTCCTATTTGCTTTGATGGGTTTCCTGTTTTGAGGTGAGCACTGGAAATATACTATTTTTGGTTTATTTAGGTAAGTATTTGTAAAATAGGTATTAACAAATAATTTAGCTTTCATTTTACATACAAATGAATATGTTGTTAGAAAAGTATGCCAACAAACCTTGAGGTTAGTAGCTGGCCAAGCGTCTCTTGGCATGATACAGAATCTACCACTTCCACCTGTGTTCTTGACGATGAACTGAGCAACATGGATACCGCCCACAAGGCAATAGCCACAGTCAATAACACTTGACACTGAAATTAATATAAAGAGACTTAATTTATATAAATTTCAAGACAGCCGTTTTGAAATTCTTTCACGATACATCGCACAATTACAGTAGTTATTGAGATATAAAGACAAGTGTTAAGGCCAATTATACCTTCCCACTAGAGGGATAGCTTTTACTGTGTATCTTCCAATACATGACAAAGCTGGCATATCAACTGGTAGTGAAAGGTCATACAACATGTAAAGGTTGCCTTCCAATCCCAAAGTCCAGGGTATAAAATCCTGAGACACCAGAACTAAAACTAACCAGGGGTGGTTTCTATGGTTTAGCAAGATCCCCCTTTTGAGCAAGCCCTCTACCCACTAATAAAAAAAAAAAACCTCAACCTAGCACAGACCATGTGATATTCGACACCAATTGGTCTATGATAATTAATTTGCTGATCCAAAGTTTCTAGTAATGTGGCTAAAAACCACAATTTTTTTCTATCGTAAACCATAAACTCTCCCACTTAACTCCCACCACAAGATTGACTTTTGGGTCAGGACCCCTGTCAGCAAATTTCTGGGGCCACTACTGCTAGGAATGTAAAACTTAGAATGATATTGACTAACTTACAAGAGAGCTGCGGTGGTTTGCGTCTGCCTTGTAGTTTAACTATCAGAGGTTGGCTGGATTGGGTTTGGATCTGGAGCTCATCATCAAAATCAATCAAAGCATCTGGGATGAAACGGATTTTGTACTGACAACTCATACCTGGAGCAATGATGCCATAATCACCTGGAAATTGACCTGAAAAGCAATAATAATATATTTAAGCTTATATATTGCACAATGCATAAAGCTTCCATAAAGTATTTAGTTGGAGGTAGAAAGCCATTGAAGTTTCTCTAGCACTGAAATGATATTGTGTCAATTTTGAATGTTAGATTTTAAAACAATTAAAATCACAATTTGTAATATTTTTATGTGCAAAAGTTTATTAAATCACTAATAACTTTTTCAACCTATGAGCACCATAGCACAACAAAAACCTAAACCAAAAACACAACAAAAATATTACACATTATGGCCAAAACATCACAACCCAAATCAATCAATAGAGACATGGCATTACTGGGTAGATGCAACTGAGCCTACTCATGTTAAGACCTACAAATTTGACTACAGTAGTTGGGGCCTAACCATAACACTATTTAGAACCAGTCCCTGTAGGAATACTAGCTAAGACTTGAACATTTAGTGTATTAGTCTCATGGATTTAAAAGACTTACCGAGTCCAACAGAGAAGTATTCCGTCTTCGGAGGGATAACTCTGAGTTGACGGCTAGAAGCTGACACGTTCTTTAAATCTAAACACATCTCATACACCTGACGAACTTTGTAGTCTGTGAAAACCACTGTTGAGGGCGTGGCTAAGAATACAACTGAAGGTTCTTTTTTACTATAAAAGATGAAATATAACATTCATTTTAAAACCTATCTACATCGTGTATGTGTAACATTTTGTATGCAACACTTAATATTATAAAGTATTTTAATATTTATTCATTTATTTATTTATATATTTATTTATTATTTATTTATGTCAAGTGTTATTGACTTTTTATATCCAAATGTGGTGGTAGGCATTTACAAAAGTGCTTATAAAGACTATTCTCTAATTATATAAAAAATTACCACATACTTTGTAACAGTCACTTTAGGTTTAGCACCCCCTAGTTTGTGAACAACTCTGTTAGGTTTGATGAGAGATTTTCCCCCTGCCGGTTCTGATGGTGGTCGATGACGTGCATTGCGAAGGAAATCAGACTTCTTATACACCATCGCAAGATCTTTGCGATTAAGCTCTCGTTTCTCAGCTGACATGTGGTCCTTCCATTGTTCTCTCTCCGATCGTATCTGATGATATAAGTATATTAACTGTGCTTGTGTTAAATAATCAATTATTGTTTAATTTTCATTATTATTTACATCACCATCTTTCCCCATGAGTTTTTGGCACTTACAAAGATAGACTCTACTATAAACGGAAAAAAAGATCCTCCTTTATGAATGTCTATACGCTACTTACAGGATCAATCACACTGTATGTTGATATGCTGGAGTTAGATCGCAAGTCAGTAGGTGGAATGTCAAACTTGGAATGCTGCACTGATGTTTCAGTTGCCAGTGAATAATGAGGAGCTTTTGCAGCTGTAAAAGCAAACATATTCATCTAACTTAAAATACACATAGGTTTACAATAGAATCTAGAATTATATATTATTAAATAGGTATTGTAATGATAATTTATGAATAATTTCTTTTCTTCAATTCTTATCATTCCTTTCTTTATCATCCTTTCTTATAATTTCCATTATTTTCATTTTTCCTTTCTCTTCTTTTCATTACCTTTCTTATTAAATTTTCTTTTTTAAACAATTCATATCTCCAAACACTTTCTATTTATATATAAAAATATCTACCGCACGTGACTGAATTTAGCACCAATTCAACAAAACACAATGTTCTAATAATATTAAGAACTAATAATTAAAAGAACAACAAAGTCTTTCACCTCTTGGTGGTCTCGCTAACGGCGGTTCTGCTGTTGAGAAATCCTCGGGCACGATGAGATTATGCTTTTTAAGGAGATTACTGTCCAGAAATGACATGTAGTTTGATTCACCTGGTAACAAAGGTAATTATTTAAAGTTAAAGTTATTGTAATAAAGTTGTTTATTACAATTTACACTGTATATATGTTTCTCGACACTTTACCACTTTGAAAATCAGTATTATACGATAGTACTGAAAGTGCCTACAGTATAAAGAAAGATTAAATAAATAAACAAAGCTATTTCATTAAAATCAAACTTGTAGTTTCATAATCCGCTTTACCGTTTATATACTTGTATGCTTTGCAATTCGTCTATAGCTTCATGTTACAATGCAAAAGAGTAATTGCGCTGTACTCAACACAAACAGACAAAAGTCATTGAAGTTTTTTCTAGATACAGTTTGGGGAAAGAGTGTATGAATAATATATAAGGATAGTGATAACAACAGGGGTTACAAGTCTCACAGAAGTCACAGAATTCTCCCTGAAATCTGGATGGCCTCCAAATATAATATTTACATGTTTTAACTACAATATTATCAATTGTTTCACGGAAGTCAGTTCTGATGTGTATGACCATGCCCAGTAAAATAAAAATAAATATACAGTAATATATTAATAATAATAATATTATTTATATTTTTATTTCTTTATTCTTTATACTGGGAAAACCTGTTCAGTAGCATATCTACTGTTCTCCCACAGGGCCATGTACAAAAAGTCAACAATAACATTCACAATTCATAAATACGAGCAAAATACATACACCATAAAAAAATACACAGCAAATTTATTTGCAGGTACACAAAATGCTTTGAACCCGGTCATTGGGTCTACATGCTTAAGTGTTGCTGCTGTAATCAGCAGAGGAGCAGGCCATCCCACCAGGTACCCATTTCAACCCCTGTGTGGAAACAACGTAGATAAAGTGCCTTGCTCAAGGACACAAGAGAAATGCACAGCGAGGGATTGAACCCTGACATCAAGGTTGGGAAACCAATCTGTTCCCACGAGGCGCCAAACCAGACTAGATCTCACGGGAGGGATTTCTTTCGACTTGGGACCCTGTAACAATGATCAATAAAATAACAATAATTAATAATAATTGTATATGGGTCTACTACAACATGCAAACGCATCTGTACACTTAAAAGTATTATCCTGGTCAATTGGATCAGATACTTATATGAAAAATATACTCAGCTGCCTAATGGTAATGGTTGGAGACTTATACAGCGCATAATACATGGTCTCTATGAGCTCGGGACTAGATGTTGCACTTTACAATGAAGTATTCCACAAAATGTTATCTAGTACTTAACACATTGATATTCAAACTTAAATGTATACTAAAGCATTGCCATACCAGGTGGTAGGCCTAACTGATGATACAGTTCGCAGCCTTTGGCAGCTTCCTCCAGATCTCTTTCATCAGCTTGCAAAGCCTTTGCTCTAGCCTGCATAATATGACGTGACAACATTGCAGCTTCTGCTAATCGTCGTTCATGTTCAGCTTGTACCTACAGCAAAAAAATGTTGTTGGATTCAAAATGTCATTTTAATAATATTCTGCTCTCAAAACTATATGATTTAAGTGTACTTTTCCCTATTGATGATGATTTTCCTGTTTCACTTGTTTCAATGTTTTTTTCATATTTCTTTTGGGTGACTTTGTATGTTATAAAAAGAATAATAAATTATTAATAGGCCCATTCATACCTTACGTAACTCTTCTACATATTTCTCATGATAGCTGTCATCACCTGCTCGCGACTTGTTCAAGTTTCTCACAGTTTCTTGTCCAACGTAATCCCTTGTGTAAAAGTCTCGGAAAGTTTGAGCAAGTATGTGCTCCACATTCTGCGAACTTCCTGAAGAAGGACGCTGCAGGAACATCGGTGGCTCACTATCTGGTAATGAATCGACTTCAGCTGACATGATTCTTAGATGCTACACAGCGTGATACACTTTGATTTAATATGAAAGAACTTCTATTGGTCTTATTTGTATTGTAAAAGTAATAGTACAGTACAAACAAGAAATTTGTTCATTGTTGAGAAATCATAAAAACAAAACTACAGAAAACAGTACAAATAAATAATATTAAAAACAGTATTTCGAAAAAACAGTATTTCGAAAAAACAACAAAATATTAATAAGTAGGCCTAGGGCCAGGCCCCCACCTAGGCTGGGCCTAAAAAATATTTTTAAAAGATAAAAAAATGGTACATTGTCCTATTTAATAGTTTTTAAGTGTAAGTACTGTAAACATAGAACTATTCATTTAATACTAGTTGAAATGTATTATGAGTAAAATAGACTATTTTGTCCAAGTTTATAGCTTTTCGGCACTTTTCTCAAGGTCAACACAACCCTGATCGGACTGCCTAGGCCTACACCAGGCCTATTTGGAGAAGATTGACGACACGGGACTACGCACATTTGGCGGACTGCTGGGCTGTCAAGTAAGCTAGATTAGGCCCTAGATAGAGAGTAGAGAGGGCCGAGGCCTAGTCGAAATAAATGCAATGAGAGTTCGTATGATATTGGAATATAATGAGTATCGACTTACATTTAAATTGTTCTAAAATCAAACAGATATTCAATTTACTACTAGACATGCTTACCTATAAAATAACACTAACAAGCTCGTATTAAAAAATCAAAACAACCCTTCTGCCATTGTGTAACAGTTGCCATGCGACAATGACCAAAAAGTACTTCCGTTCCGTTGTTCTCTTCTTGAGCGGGTGTTACAGGGAGACGCAAATCCAGCTCTTTAAATATCTAAATCAATTTATATGTGAGCAAATATTCACAATAATTACATTATAATTGATTTCTCATAAATTGAATGAGTTTGAGAGAAATATAAATAGGCCTAGGCTAGAATGTTAGGTATTTTGATGGGTCTTTTGTATCATCATGGAAGATCTACTACCCTAGGCCTAGAGGGCGGAATTCATTTGAAGGGAGGAAGTTTCTGAATGAATGAGAGAGAGATAGCGGCGCGGCGAAATCCGTGTTTTTAATCGTTTGTAAAATATGTAAGTAGGGCATAGGCCCTTCACTTTATTAGTAATTAGTAGATTAATAATGAATTGAATTAGAAAATTAACAACCTGAATTAATTGCAGGACTATTGGCGTGGTGTGATTGAAGTTAGGGTACGGCTAGCCTATCCAAGGTAAGCTCAGCCTAGCCTAGGCTAGCCTAGCTAGGAGGAGGAGGCTAGGCCTATACAAGGCTAGGCTAGGCCTAGGCCTAGCCAAAGTCAACACTAAAATGTTGTATTGAAGGAGGAGAACATTGATTAACCAAGCACACTCAAAAAAGAACACACCAATCAACAAGTTGAAGTACTGTACATACTCTCAGCCATCGCTGAACATTGCAAATCTACCAGGCACAACATTACATGGGGCAATATTAAAGTTTTTTCAATAGAAACAAACACATAATAATGAAAAATACGAGAAGCCATCAAAGTGCGACCCCCCCCCCATTGAACAAAGATTGCGGATATGACCAACCGCCGATCTACAACAGCCTTTTGTCATGTGATCATACCAACAAAAGGTTCTTGTGATAATGAGCGAACCGCCACTTAACAGCAGGTGAAAGTGCCACAAATGTACCGAAAGCTATGGAATTGAACATATAGTAACCATCTACAATACCAATTGTTCCTATTGTGGATATTTGTTTATTAAATTTTATACGCCTCACCCACACTGAAGAAAAAGGATGCAAAAATTGAGCAATATATGCAATTCATTTTAATAAATTATTTTATAACCTATAATATAATATAATAAGTTATAAATAACTTGTAGCTGAGATGACTATGGCCGAGTTGGCTTGTGGCCGAGTTAACCTGTTTTTGTACCAGCTATAACCTAGGAAGGTCTATATAAGCCAAGACCCCCCCCCCCCCTTCATGTCTAAAGGAAGGGAGGTCTGGGTTTGATAAGGGTACAACTATTTATTATCATTATTATTTTTTCTAGCATGTTTAAGAAGGAATTTAGTTCATTTTTTGCTTTTCAAATGTTTCTTGTTGGAGTATTGGTAGGTATTTCTTGTGATGAAAAAATACCTTTTTTCTATTCTGATTGAGTTTTATAACATACTGTACATAATGTGATATTTTATGAAACATTAAAATCAAGTTGCCAAGTTTCAGACTAGTCCTGTAACCTGTACATTATTTTGTAGTGTTTCTGTCTGTTTATACTTTTTTGTAACGTCTGCAAAGATTTTTTCATTACAGTATATTTATATCATTTTTTTAAAACCATTAAGTTTATAGAGGGTGACCCTTCTAGCGTATCATGGTCGGCTGTTATTCAGATACCTTTTAAATATAAGAAAATAATATGATGCTTTTATCATCAGCGAAGTCTCTTTATGAGGTTTGGGGAGTGGAGTTGTTTTAAGTCGTGAGAAAAAGTCCTGCTCTGTTACAGCATTTTTCAAATTTCCTCACAGCACCCACAGCAATTGCTGTAGAAAGGGTCTTCCGCTGCTGTTGTAAATCCCAGACTCGGCACCAAGCTTTTTGCTGTTGATGACACTTCTTTTGTGGTACTCCACTTTCTTTTTCTAACTAAATCTTAACAAGCCGGATCCAATAGCTCTTTTTTCCGTTTTTGCTTAAGTCTCTTAAACATCTACGTAAAATTATAACATCGTGGCCTTGCACACTAAGCCTTGTTGAGGAAACTAATTAAAGTCTAAATACACCACTAATAACGGATTTCCCTTAACAAGCAACTCACACCATTTGTTTACATACTTCTCTTGCTAATACTTCCTCTTATGTCTTGTCAAACATTTACAGACTAGTAATGCAGTACAGTAAGCATACTAGACTGTCAGCTTCATAGGGTGTGTTCAGGCGAGAACGGGAAAGAGTTACAATAGGGTTCTTACCGGTATTGTATCTGAGGGTGGCATGGTCTACCAGTTCGTGCAGAATTCGGCTATCAAAAAAATCAATAACCTCACAGACGTAAAACCTAAGGTATTATGCAAATGATGAGTTTTCATCAAGTTGCCCTGGACCCTTGCGTCACCCAGCTGCGTCACCCCACGCTTTAATTAAGAAACATACAGACTTTGGCGTTGGTCCACTGCTGTAGTTGTTTCAAAATCAAGTAATGAAATTACCGAAGAAGCTACAACAATAATAAAGCATACATAGCAAACTCCCAATAAACCGCAGATGTGCATTTTTGGCGTATAAACCATGAATAAACTTTCATTCGTTTGACAATTGTAGTCTAATAACAGAAAATTACTACCCCTGTTAAATGAATAAGCAGTGGTGCCATGATCATGTATTTGTATGCATGGCAAAACGTATGTAACAAGGTAACAATCTGGATTTTAGGCATCCCTCAGTTGAAATAATTTATTTTTTCAAGCTTTTCAGTTTTCTTTTTGGAAAAAAGCTACTAACGCATGCTGCTTTTGCTCCTCCAAAAACACTGCAATTTGCAGCATTGGATTATCAGCAGATATCAGCAAGCGGTCCGCGTTTAACACCTATTTGGGCTATAACCGGAAATGGCTATTTCCGGATTTATCCACAAAAAACTTGCTCAAAAGCACCCATACAGTGAGCCCTTTTTATAAATAAATTTAAATTAAATTTGCAAATTTCCAGCAAACCTGTACTTATCTCTGTGGCTTGGTAACCTGTTCATTATGGTACAGTAATATAAGAGAAACATATTTTTAGCATGTTATTTTAATAGGGAGATATCGCAACCTTATGAAAACAATAAAGAGTATGTCATTTCCATCATTGTCATTCTCGCCTCAAACATAATTAACAATACAGTAAATATATACGAGCTGCATATGATTGTTGATTCATTTAAAAGTCATGGATCGCCTACTTTGCGAAAGATATGCCACTGTATGAGATGGATTAACTACAAAATTGATAATGTAACCGTATTCGTTATCCTTTTCGTAAGCTTGCGAAACCTCTCTACTATGTAATTTCTGTAATACTGTAACCAAAATGTATATATTAAATTATGTTAAAATTACATGTTTTATTACTTTTCTAGACAGTGTGAATTAAAATGGCAACTGATGAAGTGGATAATTTTCCAGGGCTGTTAGAAATACCAAAAGATGAAATCGAGTTTGGAAAACGTATTGGTCGTGGCGGAACAAGTAGCGTGTTTAAAGGTGTATGGAAAACTAAGGAAGATTTTCCAGTTGCAATTAAACATCTAAATCGTGTTCAAGAAATTGAGTTAGTTACATTAAGAATAATTAAAGACGATGAAGGAAAAAACCACATTGGTCGAAATTTTATTACAGAGGTGCTAGGGGTCATCACAAAGGACCCATGGTATTGTATCATTATGGAATATGCTGCTAAGGGCTCGTTACTCGATTATTTAAGCCAGAAAAGAAAAAAAGAGCAAAGCTTAGACAAAGATGTGTTCTTTACATGGACCCGACAAGGTGCTCATGCCATAGCATACCTGCATGAACATAATATAATTCACCGAGATATTAAATCGCCAAATTTCCTAATCACGGATAGAAACAATTTAAAATTGTGTGACTTTGGAATTTCGCGCATCACCGATGGAACAGTTAGCACAATCATGGCCGGATCGTTAGCATGGATGGCCCCGGAAAATCATGAGTTTTTTAAAGAACGCTCAAATCATATCAAAGTTTCACCGCGATCGGATATTTACTCGTATGGTGTTGTGATTTGGGAAATGTGGACGTGTAAGAAGCCGCAAGATACGACGATGGAGAATGCTTGTTACCCACTAGATGACAGGACGCCAACTGAGCTAAAGAAATTGCTTCACCAATGCTGGGAAAACGACAGAATGAAAAGACCAAGTTTACAAGATATCTTGAATCACATGGAGAGCTTGTCTGTCACTTTGGGTGTTGAGGTTAAAGACTTTATTCAGGTAAGTCAACTGAAATACAGATAAATTGATAGCTCATTAATTTAATGAAACAATTACCTAATTTCCAATACATGGTAATATAAGCTAGTAGATTGAAACTTCATTATATGGTTTTATTTACCAGAAATTATCACTGAAAGATTGGGTATCAGCTATAATAATTTACAATAGAGACACAACGTAACATTTCAGTTTTGTTGTAATTTACAGACTTTGGTCACACAATTACCAGCCAGCATATGCATACATTAGAATAAATGAAAACTGAATTACGTTGATCAGTATGTCTTTTTATTGCTGAAATTAGCATTTCAGTACAAAGTCATAATTTAGTAGTGTTTTATTCTTGCATTAGATGCCAGATGACAGGCCTTTACCAGGTGGTGGAGGAGATAATGCTGTACTTGAAGAACAGACAGTACCACAGGTTAGAACGTTTGTTTCTCCATCTCTCTGTGTTTATAAAACAGTTTCATTTGTTGTTTGTGCTTTCTTATGTTTTTACTTGTTAAATCATACAGAGACCAACTATTTTGGGCTAAATTACAGTTTTAGTACTTGCCCCCTAATTGTTACACTATGAAATTTTATATTTTGCATTGTTTAAGGTAATTATTATTTAAAAATTTTTCCTGTTTTCCTGGTTATTAATAATAAAATAGTTGAATATAAAATAACACTTTTTTTATGTGAAGGTTTTTACTTTAAGTTAAAGCAAAGTATTGCATTTTATCATTTGTAGGCAAAAAATCCCAACAAAACGTTCACAGAACAGCACTTGAACAAGCTGTCGAAGCACCTGGGATCGGAATGGGAGAGCCTCGCTCGAATCCTGGGAGTCACCGAAGCAGAGATCTTTCAGGCTAAGCATGAGAATGTTTTCTCAGTACGCAACCAGATCTTTGGAGCATTTAACAAGTGGCGGAAACGCAAGTCATCTTCATCTGATTTTGTTAGAATCAGCAATGTAATCGAAGCTTGCCAGGAAGAACAAGTGGATCTGTCTGTTTACCAGTTTCTTCTAGATGTATAAATGTTTTAATGTTGTTCTCTATTATTGTACCTGCTTGATTACTGTACATACAGTAAAGTAGTGCCTCTCTGGATCAGTGGCGTATCTAGGAGTATTGAAATGGGTGTGGGGGAAAAAGGTGGGGGTGTGGGAGAAAAAACAATATATAATCTGTCTCTTATACACATCTGAATGGTGGAGGCATAAAGTTTAAGTGGGAAGGGGGGCTCCTCAAGGATTAAGTTGGGGTGTTAGCTGGCCAAAAATAATTGATATAAATTATAAGGTGATTTTTAACTACTTTTAATAGTATTTTTTTTATCACTCCCATGCCATTAAGATACGCCACTACTCTGGATTGGTGTGTGTGTGTGGGGGGGGAGATGTGTAGGGGTGAATGGAGTGATTGTATAAAGTCACCAGACCTCATATGTTCAACTGTCAATGTGTTTCAAATAACATGTATTGTTAATGTGCTGTGCTAATTGAGTAGTGCTTGCTAATGAGTGTTCTACTTTGTTAAGTCTTCCTAATAGATGTTTGTGTTACCAAATGCATTTAATGCGCAGATTATCAAGTTTAATTGACCAGCCAGGTGGCCTTGGGTCCATTGATTCCTATTCAATGAAATTTAGTGCGTGGCTTGATAGTCTTAAGCTGTAACCCCATGCTAGGTAGGGGTATGTGGTACAGTACTCTACTTCATTTCTACTGTGCCTAACATTACATGTAGGGAGAGTGTAACTCACCACCTGGTCAGATTTTCAATTTGTAGGAATATATGACAGAGAGTATTTTATAACAGTAAATTTGAAATCCATAATGGTGTTATTCAATTATAATCTAATTATTATTATAGTGTCATTTAAAATCTGCTTTATTTTATTGGTTGCTAACAATGCTACTTATCAAGAATAATGTAACTTGATAAAGTGATTATTGAGGAAAGAGGATATGAAATATACAAAAATGAAGAAAAAAAGTAGGGTGTTGGTATAGATGCTTTAACAAAGTTAGTAAATCTTGCATGTTAATTAATGTAGTATCTTATAAATGATATTCAAAGCTTTTTAATTGGTTGGTATAACTGCCAATGCCCTAAACAGTAGTTGGATGCTAGATGTGCAATAGAATTTTTATCTTATGTAAAAAATATGCTAATATTATGTTAATTACCCACCTCATTGTCAGGACATATCCACAGTATCATTCCCACAGAACCTATTGTATGTACTTAGAATCTTTTTAATAATTTACCATGAATAATTTAAATACTTGCAGTTCTATTATATGAGATATGGTGTTTAACCATGGAGGAAAGAAATTAACAAGGGTAATCCATTCAGTAAGGCTTATATCAAAGTGGACCCTTGATGCTCTGTAATTAAGTCTCCTTGTAAGGCCTAGCAAGTTACAAAGAAAAATTATGCACCCTGGGGAGGTCTGTAATTGAAGACCTACAGCCATCGCCAATCCAAAGAAATGTTGTGACTGCCTAAGTAGTGTCACCGCTTCCTATTCAATTGCCAACAAATTAATTAGGCTATACACGCCTGCTAACCGTTAGCGTCTGTGCGTTCATACGAGAAAATCCCGATCATTATACCAAAAAAATATGATGTTCGAATCACTGACCAATAAGAAACTGGAAATTTTAAACGTATATGTGTGATTGGTTGATGATAAAAATGCGCTCAACTTGCTAACCGATAGCACTTGCTAACCGTTAGCGGTAACCTATCGGGCGTTCTCACGCAGGTGCTAACGGTTAGCTCCCGATCTGGGATACTAGGGCTCTCGTGAGAACCAGGCTTTAATGTATGTGCTGACATTTGCCAAATTACGTTTCTTTATGACTTTTTGTGAGAGTGACAACCCAAGCTACGCGGTTATGGTACAATCATTGATGTCATGCTGGAATCATTGACATGCCAACACTGCTTTTTTGCAAGGTCACAGAGACCGAGTTACTGTACACGGTTGCTTCCAGCATGGCTTATTGTATGTGGAAACATTTCTCTTTTGTTGAGAAATATTTGATTTTGTTGTCAAATTTTTAAAAATATATGCAAAAGTACTGTATAGAAGTAGTACAATATATAATTTATTTTTATTTGCCATTTTTTTTAGCTGCTTGCAATGTTTACAGGAGTAAAGTTATGCAATTTATTTACCTAATTCTGCAATAGCTTTTTAAAGTTTAGCTGTAAAGTTACTAATTCATGCTTCTGAGTTGATATTGATAATTTAAAATTATTTACTAGTACATAATTAACTAGTAAACTGGTGTTAGAATCTGTAAGTATTAGTTTTAATTTGTTGTAAATGTCAAATTTAGTGTAGAAATTTTAAAAATTGTATCGATCTAAAATATTTTAAATACTGTATAATTATTGACAGTAATCATTTACTATTCTCGTGTAATCACCAGTTTTAAATGATTGTAAAATACAGATGTTCGTTTCAGTATAGGCTATTGTATTGTTCGCGCTGCTTTTGTAACTTTTCAGGGTCAGGTTTTTTGTGATGGTAACCTGTGGTAAGAGGATTATTTCTTAAATCATTCTTTATATATATATTGCAAAACTAAGTATACATGTACTGTATGTTGTTTCAATAATATATGGTACTATAACTGGTAATGTTAATACCTCAACATCATGTTATTTCATGGAAACATAGAAGTTACAGTATAACATGAAAAGGCATGATTGAGTGTACTGGATAAGTCATTGTCTGTTCAGTTTGTATGTAAGGTACAAAAACAGTTAGGAAGGAACATTTTTCTCATACCTTTCATGATGTAAATCTCATACCTTTCATGATGTAAGTTTACAAAATGCATAATTAACAGTTAATATTAAAATTGCCAGGCAAAACAATAAAGTAAAATTGTCGATCAAAAGGTGATGCTAATGACAGAGGTGAGGTGGATGTGGGGATGGCGCTATACTTTTTTGGCCACCTTGTATGGCTCTAAAATTTGTTGAATTGCATTGTGTGAGTTAGTCTTTCTGCTTGGCTGTACAGTAGGCCTGACTTGTTCATTATAATAATATAGCAGCTTTGCTACACTAACTGCAAGTTTTGAAATTTCTTGTTTTTGTAATTTGATTTTTATCCTTAATTCAGGATTTAAATTTAATTAGATAATTGCTTGAATAAAACAAATTACTGCAAATTGTGCCTTATGACCTATATTTTCAAGTGTTCTAGTTAATTTCCAGAATATATTATATGTATTAGCATTGTCAAAAATAATTCGAAATTAAAAAAAAAAAAAATTATTTATAGAGGTATTTAGCTAAGATGTTACTCAAAATGGTTTATGAATAATGCAGGACAAGGTATGTGCCTAGGGCATGCCAAACACATACACATAGATATATAAAAGAAAAAGATTGATATCAAGAATACTAAGCAGGTTAAAATTATTTGCAACTTTCTTTAAAATATGCCCAATTACTTCAATTTTTAATTCAATAATTAAATCAGCCAAATGGCCAAGCAGTTAAGGCAGGGGCACCGTGATCATAGCCAACAATATCGGCACAGGTTCGCGGCCGGCTCGCTTCTACAGTTCTGGTGGTGGAACAAGTTTTCTCGGATAAGGACTAAGTCACTATAAACCGTAGGCCCAGTGTACACAAATGTTCATGTGCACTTTAAAGAACCCAGTACATCTTTCGAGATGAGTAGGGGGTTACCCCGGTGTACTGGTTCACTTGGCCCCTGTCGTGGACTGTTTTATGTGTACTGGGCCCTCTGGGAGAACAGTAATTTGTTACTGAAGAGGAAACCCAGTATAAATAACAAATAAAAAAAATAAAATCAGTTCAATTTGATTTTACATTCATTGTCCATATAAAAGAAAACAAGATTTGGCACAAATCAAAGAATGTAGTACTACTAGCATAGAGAAAATAGAACACAACTGGAAAAGCACGTGATACTTTCATAATCAGTATCTAGAGCAACAGCGCGTTTTGATAAATTATGTTAAGCATGGTGTTCGGTTTCTTTGTACTACTTCCAGCTCATTCAGGGGCTTACGAAAACGATAACGATGACGGTTACTTCATCAAATGTTTAGTCAATCTATTCACTACAGTAGCATATTTGTCGCAACGTATGTCATCCATGCCTTACTTCTGTTTGCTCTATGCTTCAACGATTATATTCAGCTCATAATTGTTAGTGTTTTAGGCACAAATGACGATTAATGGTGACGTATTCGTTATCGTTTTCGTCAGGTTCCCATATCTCCATAATATCCAACTCAAACAAACTGAACATCAAAAAACCCCAAAACACGTCGTTTCAAAACCAACTTTCGCCAAAAGCTCGACCCAGAGCCGGAGCCCCGGTGGGGGTCCAGGGCTTCTGGCGCTCTGACGATCGCGATCTCAGCATTTTTAAGCTGTTTTAAAACGATTTCGGGAAGTATTTGCTGACAATACTGGGTAGGGTACATAAACAAAAATATTTTTAGTATAGTTTCAATGTACTTCATGTTTAATTTGAGCACCCGAATTACTATGTGCACAAACATTTCAAAAATGAATAGGCATACTGACTAATAAACCCTTCTCAACAATAAACGCCCCGGGACGTTTATCCAAATGATACGGTATATTTTATATGGTCAAGCTTACAATTACAGTCTTGTAAAACAAATCACACAGTATAAATTAATTATAAATAATATAGAAACAATACAGACTTATGATGATGCAATATATATTTATTTGTAGTGCTTGTTTCACAGACGTTGTAATCGCTTTGATTGTGTGGCTCTTATCCAGACTTTTGGTGATTTCGTTGAATACATCGTTGTCATTTGCTTGTATATAATGTGGCTATTCTGAGCCAAAGTATAGAAAAGCAAACATAGAAGAATGAAGCTTATTGCCCAAGCACCAACCGAAACCCCAGGCTCATCAAGGCTATCTACAAGAAATAATATAATTATTACATTTATATAGGCATATGATCAATAGCTAATAATTTATTTAGTGTCTGTTGATGAAACAAATATTTTTGGCTTACCGAAAGTAGTTATATTAATTTGTTTATTGTTGTGTGCACGTCTCTATTAATTTCTCGTATTATTTGATATTTATTTCATTCCTTATTATATATTCCTTAAAGAA